CTGCACCCAGCCAATTTTTGTATTTTTAATAGTGACGGGGTTTCACCATGTTGGTCAGGCTGGTCTCAAACTCCTGACCTCAAGTCAGGCCTGCCTTGGCCTCCCAAAGTACAGGGATTACAGGCGTGAGCCACCGTGCCCAGCCTTGTTTTTAATTTTTTGTAGAGACAGGGTGTTGGCACATGCCTGTAATCTCAGCTACTCGGGGAGGCTGAGGCAGGAGAATCACTTAAACCTGGGAGGTGGAGGTTGCAGTGAGCCGATATTGCACCACTGCACTCCAGCAGCCTGGGCCACAGAACGAGACTCCATCTCAAAAAAATAAAAAAGGAAAAAAGAAGAGGCATCTGAGAGAGGTTTTGAAGAATGACTAGGATTCCAACAGACAGTGACGGGCAAGAGGTGTCCCCAGAAGCACTGAGGAGGGACCAGCGTGAGAAGTATGGAGCCGGAGCAGCAGGAGTTCACTGGTGGCAGGTTATGAGCAGGAGGCGATGAAAGATCAGGTGTGAAAGTTAAGTGAAGGCCATACTATAGAAGACTTTCTGGCAGCGTAAAGATATTTGGGAGAGCCCCTGATGTCTTTGAGCATAATAGTAGCCCGGGTCAAAGTTATTTAAAGGTTTGGCCAGTGGGCAAGATGTGGGCCTGCAGAAACACCTGGCTGGGAAGTTGGGGAGCCTGAACCATCAGCTGCTCCACGGCCTTGGAATTGATGGTGTAGCACTGCCGGGCACCAGAACTGAGTCCATAGGGCATTTGCTAGAGCTCACAGCCTATGGAATTCAGTTCTCAGTGCCAGGTGGCCAAAGTTCTTTCAGCCTGGACGCTGCCCTTGCATGTTTTCTTCTGTGAATTGTCTCCGTTTCCCAGGATGAGTAGGTTGAGGCCCAGATCGGGCATGGTGGTATGTGCCTGCTCCACATAAGGAACCTGTGATAGCAAGAGATCTCCTATTCCAGCGAGGGTCTGAGCTTGGAGCGGAAAATGGGGGCCCACAGCTAAGGAAATGGACAGGAGTTCCATAAATTCCAACAGGAATTGGAGTAGGTTATGAGGGGAGGGGGCTCAGGGCCATGGCAGGGATTCATCCCCAGGCCTCAGTACTGCATACTCAGTCCTGTCGCTTCCTGCCCAGATGTGTTCCTGGTGGGGCCTGATGTGGGGCTGCAGGGGTGAGGGGCTGGGGAAAGAGCCAGAACACGCACACGGAGAAGGGCATCTCTCTGCAAACCAAGGGGCTTTCTGAGCTAAAGGGAGTCCCCAAGATACAGATCCCCAAGACAGAAGCCCAGCCCAGGAGTCCTAGCTCCCCAGAAATCTCCCCAAAACCCTGAATAAAGGTTTAAAGTACCTGGGATAGAGGAGTAGAGGAGAAAGAGTTCCCTGAAGCACATTTTCATTTTCTGGAGAGTTCAGCTGAGGGCTGGGTGTCCCCTTACTCACATGGCAAAGCTGCTGCCTATCCCAGAGAGGGAAAGCCAAGCCTGCGCCTCAGGGGCACCCCATCCCCACCCCTGCTGGAATCCAGAGAAAGGGACCGCCACTTACCCACGAAATCTCCTCTCTTTGGCTCCTGGGGCTGGATCTGCAACGATGTTCTCAGCCGGTGCTCCTTAAATAAGGCCTCCGCCCCCCCCCTCCCCAGCCGCCTCCCGCCCCCGCCTCATGCTGGCTCTTCTGAGAAAGGAGGAAGGTGTGGGAGGGCCAGGAACCCTGCCCAGAGAGCCCTTTCTAACCTCAAGCCAGAGCGGGACCCCGCCCCCGCCATTCTTTGAAGCCTCCCCTTCCTCACCTTGGTCTCTAACTGGGTTCTTCACACCCCTTGAGACCAGCCCGCTGGGTTCTCTCTCTACTCTGCCTGAAAAATCTGCCCTTTATGCCAAATTCAAGTCCAGTTTCTCATTTTGAAGCAGGATGATGGGGAATGATGTGCTAGGGGAAGCTTCAGCGTAGGTTTCTAGCTTTTCCCACCAGTTAAGGCGATCCAGGCACCCAAACACCAGCTGCAAAATTCACTGGAAGGAATGGCGGGCAAGAGGCATCCCTCTGCCTCCTTTAGCTCTGTGTGGCTTCAAGCAGCACCCAAAGGGCAGTGGGGAATCTGTTCCCATTTTGGGGAGGGAGAGACTGAGACCTGAGGGGAAAGAAAATCAGGGGCTGAGGGTTCAGCCAGTTTCAGAAGCCCTCAGGGCAGGGATCCCAGGAGCCCCTACCTTACAGTATGTGTGTGTCCTTGTGTCTGTGGGGGTCTCTCTCCTCAGCCCACCTTGTGTCCTCGGCCCCCTAGAACTTGACTCCTGCTGCACAGAGCTGGGACTCCCCAGAGTTTGAGTTGGGAAAGGAGAGACTCCCCCTAAGAAGTGTTTTCCATCCTCCTGCTGTGAAAGCTCAGGAAGTTCTTTCTGATACCTGGTCACACACAGCTGCCATCCAACAAACAGGGGAGAGGGGAGAGGGGAAGGCACACAGTCAGAGATGGCTTGCAGGGGTCTTGGGCCAGAACTCAGGGCAGCTCTACTGAGGAAACTTGAAAGTTCCGGGAATGGAGGGTGGTAGGGAGAGAAGAGTCATCACTATTGTGCAACAGACAGAGGGAAGCAGGAAAGGGGATGGGGGAGGAAAGGGATGGCTGGTCTCTGGAGGACAGGCAGAGGCCTGGGGCTGTGGGCTGCCCATCACCCCCTTCCTAGGGGCCTGCCCGGCCAGAGTTCAAAGTCGCTGTCACCCCACAACTCATTAACCCTAGTATCACCAGGCTGGAGTGGCAGTGTTTTTATGGGCAAAGTGACGCCGAATGTGCCCCTCCTTTCCCTGCTACCTCCCCCAGGCAGCGAGCATCTTGCTGTCTCTGAGGCCAGAAGAGGAAAGAGACTGTTGTGAGGACCAGAGGTGGAAGAGAAAGCAATAAGCAGTCATCCCGTTTTCTCCATAGTTTCTTCTTCTTCTTCTTCTTTTTTTTTTTTTTTTTTTTTTTTTGAGACAGGGTCTTGCTTTGTCACTCAGGCTGGAGTGCAGATCACGGCTTACTGAAGCCTTGACCTCTGGGGCTCAAATGATCCTCCCACCTCAGCCTCTGGAGTAGCTGGGACTACTGGCATGCATGACCAGGCCCAGATAATTTTTTATTTAAAACTTTTTTTTTGTAGAGACAAGGTTTCGCGTCTTCAAGGCTGGTCTCAAATTCCTGGGCTCAAGCGATCCTCCCACCTCAGACTTGCAAAGTGCTAGAATTACAGGTCTGAGCCACTGCAGCATAGTATCTGGGCACTGCCTCAATCCCTAGGGGAGAGGAAAGATGGGACTTCCCTCTTGGACTGTGAGCTCCCTGAGAGCAGGGACAGCTTCCAGGTCCCCAGCACCCTACAAGGGAACTAGCACTAAAAAGGGCTCATTCCTGCTGATGGGAGATGGGAAAGCTTATCCTTGAATGGGAATCTTCCCCTCGTGACCCATTTCAGGGTTCCCAAGAGGGGAGGGCTGTGGGGCTTCCCCACAGGGCAGCACCGGGAATCTCTGGCAGCAGGAACAGAAAGAGGAAGCTGAGGTCTTGTTGGGCCCTGGAGTTCAGCTGTCCTGTTCTAGACAAGCAGCCCTGCCAACATCGGGATGAAGGCCCCGGGGATAGGCATGGTCTACAGGCTGTCCATGACCAGGGCTCAGATGGATCCTCACCCTGGCACCTGCTACCACCCAACCTCCCCCAGACCACGTCCAAAATCCCAGACTCCACCCTCCGAAGACCCAGACCTGTAGCCCACCCCAATCTGGGGGAGACACTGCTGTTAAGGGAATGCAAAAGGTACAGACAGGGTGGGGAAGTCAGTACCTAAGAGACTTGCCTGGGCCACGTGGCAAAAACTCCGTTTCTAAAAAAAAGAAAAAAAAAATTAGCTGGGTGTAGTGGCATGCTCTTGTGGTTCCAGCTACTCCAGAGGCTGAGATGGATCACTTGAACCCAGGAGGTCGAGGCTGCAATGAGCCATGTTCGCGCTCGTGAACCTGCACTCCAGCCCGGGGCTGTAACAGCAAGAAAAAAAAAAAAGAACGAGAAGGAAGGAAGGAAAGGAAAGAGAAGGAAAGAAAGGAAAACAAAGAAAAAAAGAAAAGAGGCCAGGCAGGGTGGCTCATGCCTGTAATCCTCAGCACTTTGGGAGGGCGAGGCAGGCGAATCACAAGGTCAGGAGTTCGAGACCAGCCTGGCTGTAATCCCAGCTACTAGGGAGGCTGAGGCAGGAGAATCTCTTGAACCTGGGAGGCGGAGGTTACAGTGAGCCGAGATCCCACCACTGCACTCCAGCCCGGGCGACAGTGCGAGGCTCCCTCCGAAGAAGAAAGAAGAAAGGAGAAAGAAGAAGAAAGGGGAAAGAAGAAAGAAGAAAGAAGAAAGAAGAAGAAGAAGAAAGAAGAAGGAAAGAAGAAAGGAGAAAGAAAAAGAAAGAGGAAAGAAGAAAGAAGAAAGAAAAAGAAGAAGAAAGAAAGAAGGGCCGGGCGCGGTGGCTCACGCCTGTAATCCCAGCACTTTGGAAGGCCGAGGCGGGCGGATCACAAGGTCAGGAGATCGAGACCATGGTGAAACCCCGTCTCTACTAAAAATAGAAAAAATTAGCCGGGTGCAGTGGCGGGCGCCTGTAGTCCCAGCTACTCGGGAGGCTGAGGCCAGAGAATGGCGTGAACCCGGGAGGCGGAGCTTGCAGTGAGCCGAGATTGCGCCACTGCACTCCAGCCTGGGCGACAGAGCGAGACTCCGTCTAAAAAAAAAAAAAAAAAAAAAAGAAAGAAAGAAAGAAGAAAGAAGAAGAAAAAGAAGGAAGGGAGAGAGAGAGGAGAAAGAGAAAGAAAGAGAAAGGTCTCTGATGGATGAGAAGGAACAAGGCGGGGATGCAGTCCTACCCACTTCAACTCCACCCCCTCTCAAGACCTTCACTTCTAACGCCTCCCTACGCGCAACAAAACTGGCCGCCGCGGGAGCCCGTCGATAGCCCTGGGACGCTTGAGAATGAGCAGAAGCTCCGCCCTGTTGTGGGCAATATGCCCTTCTCAAACATGGCCGCCACGGCGCCTCTGGAAGGGAACCGCTCTGGGCCCCGCCTTTGATCTCGTTGGTGGGGCTGGGGGATGAGAGCTGCACCGCGCGGGACAAGTCGCCGGCGGCGCCCGACGGAGCAGGTGATTTCCCCTCCGGCCCCCGGCCCAGGGCTAGGAGAGTCGCGGAGAGCGCTGACCCAGGGTACCCGTCCAGTGTGTTCCCCCACGGTACCCCCCCGGGGCCCACCGGACCCCCATCTCTGATTCTCGCCGTGGCCTGTATCAAGGAACAACCAGTTACCTCAGGCCTGCCTCGTCATGTGTCCTGCAAGGCCACAGCCGCATCCCCGTGCCCTCGGGCGCACTATTCTGGACGCTTACGGGTGTCCCGCTAGCGGGTTTAGGGAGCTGCTGCTTCAGGGGTCGTCCGTCATCGCGGTCCCACTTCCTGTGCTCGCCCTCCCTGTTTGTGTTCCCGCCTGACTTTGGATGTAGGGATCCCTTGTTCTCCTCAATGTCCTTGATGCCTCTAAGGTCTGACTTGGGAATCAGGGGACAATTATATCCTTTGGGGCCTGCGTTATGGGTCCAGGGCCTCAAGAACCGGGCTTCACAGGGGCTGGGAGAAGCATTGAAGACCTCCATGCTAGACCCCTTGGTGCCTCCCTGAGAAGTTCGCTAGGACTCCTTTCACACTAGCTCCCAGGATTCCTCCTCCCACATGGCCTGCTCTCCTTCCACTTTAAGCACCTCCCCACCCCAAGGGAGTACCATAGTACTTCTTACCCCAGTCTCACTTAAATTTGTCCACAGTGTCTCTACCTAGCATCTGGAGGGTCCAGGCCTGTGCTTCTCTTGGGAAGCTCCCAGGACAGCTGGGAGCAGTGAAGATGGGGCAGTTAGGGTTGGCTGCAGAAAGGAAGTGAGTCCTGCAGAATGAGATTTGGAGAGGCAGAGGCAAAGATGCTCTGAGCTGGGAGAATGGTGTGAGCAAAGATTCTGAAATAAGCAATATAGCCAGCGAGGCAGGAGAGGAGGTTCCGAATATAGGATGGGGCCACACAGTTTGCATCGTGAGAGATGAGGTAGTGCGGTGGTTAACAGTGAGGGTTCTGCAGCCAGACAGCCTGGGTGTAAATCTGCCATTAACTTGCCCTGTGACCTTGGGCAAGTTACTTAACCTCACAGTGCCTTCATTTTCTTTCGGGTAAAATGGGGATAATACTGCCAGGCGCGGTGGCTCATGCCTGTAATCCCAGCACTTTGGGAGGCCGAGGTGGGCGGATTGCCTGAGGTCAGGGGGTCGAGAGCAGTCTGGCCAACATGGTGAAACCCCGTCTCTACTAAAGAATACCAAAAAAATTAGCCAGGCATGGTGGCATGCGACTGTAATCCCAGCTACTCGGGAGGCTGAGGCAGGGGCATTGCTTAACCAGGGAGGTGGAGGTTGCAGTGAGACGAGATCACGCCACTGCACTCCAGCCTGGATGGCAGAGCGAGACTCCGTCTCAAATAAATAAACAAAACAAACAAATAAAATAAAACATATCTACGTTTAGAGTTATTGTAAGGATTAGGTAAGTTAATACATGTAAAAGTGCTTAGGACAATGCCTAGTAAGCAGAGGCAATAAATGCTAATATTACCATCATCAGAGGCATTTAGGCAGGACTCATGACAGGATGACAGTCACATTTAGTAGACACCATCAACCTATGATCCCTAATTTGGGGCCCCCTAGAAGTAATGGGGTTCTGTGGGCTACATCTGGAATTTGAAATGTCTCATGGAAATCATGTTCTTACCCTGGAGAAGGCTGGCTGCTTAGGTGCTAATTAGGAAACCAGTCTGGCAGGTTTTCCTAGACCAGGTCTTCCCCAACGCAGGGGCTATGCTGGGAGAAGTATTATAGGAGCCCCTGAGTAGGAAGGATGTGCTGAGGAAGGCTAGCAGGAATGGGGAAGGGTAAAAGAGCTTAGAAGCCTGGGTGAAGTTTGGGTGGACCAAGAACAGGAGGAGGGAGGGAGGATGTTCCCTTGGAAGACAAACTAGAGAAAAGCTTAGGGGAGCAAGTCTTTTTATTTGGAGACAGGGAAGAGTTTCCTAAAAATTCCCTGGCCCCCAGGCCTTGGCTAAAAACCCAGAAGCATGAGACACATCCCTGAGAAGCTTCTTCCCTAGAAACTGGGCTTTCAGGCCAGGCCTCGTGGCTCACACCTGTAATCCCAGCACTTTGGGAGGCCGAGGCGGGCAGATCACCGGAGGTCGGGAGTTTGAGACCAGCCTGACCAACATGGAGAAACCCCGTCTCTATTCAAAATACAAAATTAGCCAAGCATGGTGGTGCATGCCAGTAATCCCAGCTACTCAGGAGGCTGAGGCAGGAAAATCACTTGAACCCAGGAGGCGTAGGTTGCGGTGAGCAGAGATCACGCCATTGCACTCTAGTCTGGGCAACAAGAGTGAACCTCTCTGTCTCAAAAAAAAAAAAAAAAAAAAAAGGAAAGAAAAAAAAGAAACTGGGCTTTCAGCTGGGTGTGGTAGCTCACGCCTGTAATCCCAGCACTTTTGGAGGCTGAGGTGGGAAGATCACCTGAGGTCAGGAGTTCAAGACCAGCCTGACCAACATGGTGAAAACCCATCTCTACTAAAAATACAAAAAATTAGCTGGGCCTTGTGGTGGGCGCCTGTAATCCCAGCTACTGAGGAGGCTGAGGCAGGAGAATTGCTTGAACCTCCCAGGTTCACACCATTGTACTCCAGCCTGGGCAACAAGAGCGAAACTGCGTCTCAAAAAAAAAAAAATGAAGCCGGGCGCGGTGGCTCATGCCTGTAATCCCAGCACTTTGGGAGGCAGAGGCGGGCAGATCACAAGGTCAGGAGATCGAGACCATCCTGGCTAACACAGTGAAACCCCGTCTCTACTAAAAATACAAAAAATTAGCTGGCGCCTGTAGTCCCAGCTACTCGGGAGGCTAAGGCAGGAGAATGGCATGAACCTGAGATCGCGCCATTGCACTCCAGCCTGGGTGACAGAGAAAGACTCCATCTCAGAAAAAAAAAAAAGAAAGAAACTGGGCTTTCATGCAGCAGCCATGGGCCTTTGTCCCAGCAGAGGCTACCATGCAACTGACAGCCCAGGATTCAAGGGTGATGTAACCCAGGTCGAGGAGGTAGGTCCCTTGAGGTGGCTCTACCCTGAGGGAGCTGCATGATGGGATCTAGTATGCCTGGGCTGAGCCATTCTGCTCTTCCTCAGGGCCCATGAGGGCTCTGGAGCAGGTGGCATGCATCCCCCTTGTAGGCTGGGTCCTGCTTTCCAAAGTAACCCCTGTGCTATGAGCAACTCTGTTACCACTCAGGGGACCAGGCAACTGTGAGCATAGAAGATAGCCCTGTCCCAACTTGAAAGTCTTGATATCCTCCCTTCCCCAGAGTAGCCCCTAGAATAGATGCTGAACTAGGTGACCTGGATTTAAATCTGTCTACTGCAGTCAAGCCAGGTGACTCTGGGCAAGTCATTAAACACACTGAACTTCATTTCTTCATAGGTAAATTGAGGTGTAACTGTTTATTGAGTGCTCACTTCATGAGAGATGCTGAGTATACATTGGTGAATGTCAGCCCAGTGTGTAGTCCCTGCTTCATGAGACAACTGGAAGAAACATTAAACGTTGTCCAAATAATAGTTATGGCTGTGAAAGGTGCTGCTAGTCAGAAAACATAGCCTGCATAGAGAGTGTAATATGGCAGGGACCAAACCAGTTCTAGGTCAGGGGTAGTGTCCCTTGAGGAAGGGAATTTTTTTTTTTTTTTTTTTTTTTTTTTTTTTTTTTTTTTTGAGACGGAGTCTCGCTCTGTCGCCCAGGCTGGAGTGCAGTGGCCGGACCTCAGCTCACTGCAAGCTCCGCCTCCCGGGTTCATGCCATTCTCCTGCCTCAGCCTCCCGAGTAGCTGGGACTACAGGCGCCGCCACCTCGCCCGGCTAGTTTTTTGTATTTTTTAGTAGAGACGGGGTTTCACCTTATTAGCCAGGATGGTCTCGATCTCCTGACCTCGTGATCCGCCCGTCTCGGCCTCCCAAAGTGCTGGGATTACAGGCTTGAGCCACCGCGCCCGGCCGAGGAAGGGAATTCTTATTTTTATTTTTATTTTTATTTTTTTGAGACGGAGTCTCGCTGTGTCTCCCAGGCTGGAGTGCAGTGGCCGGATCTCGGCTCACTGCAGCTCCTGAGCTCCGCCTTCCTGCAAGCTCCGCCTCCCGGGTTCACGCCATTCTCCTGCCTCAGCCTCCCGAGTAGCTGGGACTACAGGCGCCCTCCACTACGCCCGGCTAGTTTTTTTTTTTTTGTATTTTAGTAGAGACGGGGTTTCACCGTGTTAGCCAGGATGGTCTCGATCTCCTGACCTCGTGATCCCCCGTCTCGGCCTCCCAAAGTGCTGGGATTACAGGCTTGAGCCACCGCGCCCGGCCGAAGGAAATATTTTTAATAAAAATATTTTCTTCAGGCTGGGCGCGGTGGCTCAAGCCTGTAATCCCAGCACTTTGGGAGGCCGAGACGGGCGGATCACGAGGTCAGGAGATCGAGACCATCCTCGCTAACACGGTGAAACCCCGTCTCTACTAAAAATACAAAAAAAAAAAACTAGCCGGGCGTAGTGGCGGGCGCCTGTAGTCCCAGCTACTCGGGAGGCTGAGGCAGGAGAATGGCGTGAACCCGGGAGGCGGAGCTTGCAGTGAGCTGAGATCCGGCCACTGCACTCCAGCCTGGGTAACAGAGGGAGACTCTGTCTCAAAAAAAAAAAAAAAAAAAGTTTCATTTTTTTTTTGGGGGGGTGTTGGGGGACGAAGTCTTGCTCTGTTGTCCAGGCTGGAGTGCAGTGGCGCCATCTCGGCTCACTGCAACCTTCGCCCCCCAGGTTCACCCCATTCTCCTGCCTCAGCCTCCCGAGTAGCTGGGACTATAGGCGCATGCCACCACCCCTGGCTAATTTTTGTATTTTTAGTAGAGACGGGGTTTCACCGTGTTAGCCAAGATGGTCTTGATCTCCTGACCTCATGATCTGACCCACTCGGCCTCGCAAAGTGCTGGGATTAGAGGCATGAGCCACTGTGCCCAGCCTAAAAATATTTTTCCCCAAAAAGAGAGATGGAGTCTTGCTATGTTGCCCAGGCTGGTCTTAAACTCCTGAGCTCAAACGATCCTCCTGCCTCAGCCTCCCAAAGTGCTGGAATTACAGGTGTGAGGTACCGTGTCCAGCCAAGGAAGGAAATTTTGAAATGAGACCCAAAAGATCAGACAGAGTGACAACAAGTGAAGAGGTGGAGGCAGAAGGATACCCAGGCAGAAGAAATAGTTTGTGTAGCCCTAGCACCTAGAAAAATGCGCGCACTGGATAGGTGCTCCATACATACTTGTTGACATGTTCCATTCCCATCTACATCCTTTTGACTCCCAAAAGTCTGTTTGGGAGTCAGGAGCGTGTGGGTGGTAATGAATGGCTCCAGACCCATAGGTCCAATTGGCAGCTCATCGTCTCGCTCAGATTATGGGGCAGAAGGCTCAGAAGGCACACTACCTTGCCATGAAAGAGCTTGAGGCAAACTGAAAGAAAGCCAGGGTGGGGCCAGGTGCTTTGTCACACCTGTAATCCCAACACTTTGAGAGGCCAAGGCGGGTGGATCACCTCAGGTCAGGAGTTTGAGACCTACCTGGCCAACATGGTGAAACACTGTCTCTACTAGAAATACTAGAAATACCTGGCTAAAAAATTAGCCAGGTGTGGTGGCACATGTCTGTAATCCCAGTTACTCGGGAGGCTGAGGCAGGAGAATCTCTTGAACCCAGGCGGTAGAGGTTACAGTGAGCCAAGATGGCGCTACTGCACTCCAGCCTGGGCGACAGGGTGAGGCATTGTCTCAAAAACAAAACAAGACAAACAAACAAACAAACAAAAAAAGCGGCCTGGCGCGGTGGCTCACACCTGTAATCCCAGCACTTTGGGAGGCCGAGGCGGGTGGATCACAAGGTCAGAAGATCGAGACCATCCTGACTAACATGGTGAAACCCCGTCTCTACTAAAAATCCAAAAGTTAGCCGGGCGTGGTGTCGGGCGCCTGTAGTCCCAGCTACTCGGGAGGCTGAGGCAGGAGAATGGCGTGAACCCGGGAGGCGAAACTTGCAGTGAGCCAAGATTGCACCACTGCACTCCAGCCTGGGCGACAGAGCGAGACTCTGTCTCAAAAAAAAAAAAAAAAAAAGCCAGGGTGGAGGGAGGGAAATGATCCAGAAAGATACGATGCATGGTGAAGCTGGAGAGAGATACAGACAAGGTAAGGCCTGCAGTGGAAAGCCATGAAAAGATTCTGGACTTCCCTGAAGGGTAGCAGGAAGGCATTGATAGATTTTAAGCCGGAAAAATATGATTTTTTTTGTAAAGATCACACAGCTGTGGTGTGGAGAATAGGTTGTTGGGGGAAAGATGGAGTGGGGAGAAGGGTTAGGAAGCCCTTGCAGGCAAGAAATGGAGAAGAGTGGGAGTAGAGATGGAGAGAAATAGATGTGGCAAGAGATAATGATGAGGGCTTGGTGACTGATTGGATGAGGGAAAGCAAGGGGTAGGATGATGTCAAGGATAATTCCCATATTTGTGGCAGGAACAGCCCAGTGCCTGGACATGCATTTACTGAGGATGGCCTTGGAGGAGTAAAGCATTTGAGAGAACGTCTGGGACACGCTAAGTGTGAGATGCCTGTAAAACACATGTGGCAGTGTTAGGGAGGTAGATGTCCAAGCCTGTGGCTCAGAGGAGAAGAGGAGACTGGACTAGAGGACTGGACATTTGGGAATTGATGACATGGCATTGGTACTTAAAGATGTGGGCCCAGATGAGATCTTCCAGAGAGAGAGAGTGCTGCAGTGAGAAGAAGCGGCAGCTTTGCATGTGAGGAACTCCCACATTTAGAGGGCAGCAGAGAAGGGGACAGAGAAAGGGCCTTCCACGAAATGGCCAGAGAGGTAGAAGGAAACCAGGAAAGAATGGTGTCTCAGAAACCAAAGTTGGAGCTGCTGAAAGGGCAAATAGGTGAAACCATGAGAAATTGCCCCCTCTTTTTTTGTAGATCAAAACCAGACAAAATTGGTAAGCTCATATGGTTCAACCTAATTAGACCAAAACCTGGAAAAAGTAACTGACAACCTCAGTCTAAATTTTGAGGCCGGGCACGGAGTGACTCATGGCTATAATCCCAGCACTTTGGGAGGCCAAGGCTGGACTTTAAGTCCAGGAGATCGAGACCAGCCTGGGTCTTGAACCCTGGACTCAAAACATGGCAAAACTGCATCTCTACTAAAACAAACAACAACAACAACAAAAAATAGTAGGTGGTGTACCCCTGTAGTCCCAGCTACTCCGGAAGCTAAGGCAGGAGGATGGCTTGAGCCGGGGAGATGGAGGTTGCAGTGAGCCGAGATCATGCCACTGTACTCCAGCCTGGGTGACAGAGCCAGACCCTGTCTCAAAAAAGAAAAAGAAAAAGAAAAAATTTTGGTGGAGATTTTGGAGCAGACGCCAGACTCAAGATAGGGAGAAGTGGATAGCATGCGGAGAAGGAAAGAAGGAAGTAGAATTGACAGACTTGGTGATTGACTGGTAGGGTGAAAGAAGGCAAAATCAAGGGTAATCCCCAGGTTTCAGCTTTGGCAGCTGAGTGGTATCAGCTGATGAAGCAGATGTGTGTTTGGAGGGGGGATGTGTGCAGATTGATAGTCTATCATGAGTGTGAGGTGTGTGGAAGTGGTGGTGCCTCTGAACTTTCTGAGTGAGACGATCAGCTGCCATTTGGACCTATGGGTCTGGAGCCATTCATTACCACCCACATGCTCCTGACTCCCAAACAGACTTTTGGGAGTCAAAATCATGTAGATGGGAATGGAGCATGTCAACAAGTTATGTATTCAGCACCTAGCCAGTGTGGGCATTTGACTAGGTGGTAGGGTTACACTCATGAATAAGACAGAGTGTCCCCCTCGTCCCCACCTTGCTTTGGAGCTTCCATTTTATGGGGGCAGACAGACAATAGGCAAATAAGCACAAAATAATGTTAACGGTAGTAAGTGCTATGTAGGGTTAAGGGGCATGGAGAAGACTTATTTGCCGTAGGTTAGACAGGGAAGGGCTCTCTGAGGAGGTGACATTTGAGCGGAGCCCTGAGGAGTGACTGGACAAGCCATGGAGGTCCTGCAGGACACAAACAGAAGGAAGCTCAGCAAGTCTGAGGGACAGCAAGGTGGGGCGGGAGCGAGCCAGCGAGGAGGGACTGGGGAGGCTGGAGAGTTGGGAAAGGGCCAGATCTGTGGGCTCCACAGGCCTTGGGGAGGAGGATGGAAAGTGCTCTGCAGATAGCCCCAAGCTGCGGGAAGGGCAGGGACTGGGTGAGAGGAGAGAATCCATGAAAGGCTTCCCCTTCTATCTGGGCCCCAGAGCCAGAAAAGCCCCTTTGTGCAGAGGGTGGGTGGCCTGTTCTGGGTGGGAGAAGGGCTGTGCTTGGTCCTGAGGCTGCTCCTTGAGGGGCTGGACAATGGGGCCCCTTGTGGTTGGACTTGGGAGCCAAGGGGCTCCCTCAGTGATGGGATTCCTGAGCCAGGAGGCATGTGACCCCAAGACCTTGCCAGAAGGTCTGGGACTGATGCTGGGGAATGGGGTAGGGGGATGGGGAGAGGTGGGGGCACCTCCTCTAGAGGCTGTCTCCAGACACAGTGCCCTGTCCTGTCTCAGGCTGGAGGAGGTGAGATGGGCGGAGGAGGGGGCATGGTTCTGCTTCGGGAAATAGAGGGCAGCATCAACAGATGGCTCTATGGCAGGCCTGGAGGGAGGAGCCACTGCCCCCAGGCCCAGTGGGTAGGGGAAGGCAGAAGAGGGCCTGGCCATCCTGTCTGTCTGTGTCCCTTCAGAAGAGAGAGCATGGAGCTGGAGAGGATCGTCAGTGCAGCGCTCCTTGCCTTTGTCCAGACGCACCTCCCGGAGGCCGACCTCAGGTAGAGACGGCTCCCCGAGAAGGTTCATGTCAGTGCCCAGAGCTGGAGCTGCCAGGCAGTACTATAGGTCCTGGCCAATGGAAAGATGGCAGGAGGGCTGATTAGGATTTGCTGAAGGCCTTACTTCTCATCCTGTCCCTGTCACCTTTGTTGGGCAGATGGGAAACCATAGCTCTGAGGGAGGGGGTTATACTCTCTGGCCTCAAGGATGAAGGTCTAGCTTATAGACCTCATGAAGCTGAGGGCTGGAGTCTCAGGACAGGTGGGGGTGCTGGAGGCATCCAGTATCCTACCCAGGGCTTGTCCTGTTCCCTTCCTGCAGTGGCTTGGATGAGGTCATCTTCTCCTATGTGCTTGGGGTCCTGGAGGACCTGGGCCCCTCGGGCCCATCAGAGGAGAACTTCGATATGGAGGCCTTCACTGAGATGATGGAGGCCTATGTGCCTGGCTTCGCCCACATTCCCAGGTAGGTTTTGGCTGGGGCCAGGAGGAGGAAGGGGCTGGCTGATTATGGGGTGGGCAGGGTCAACCTCTCACCACCCTCATCTTTTCAGGGGCACAATAGGGGACATGATGCAGAAGCTCTCAGGGCAGCTGAGCGATGCCAGGAACAAAGGTGAGTCTGGAGCTCTAGGCACCTGGGTGATTCATAACCCCACTACCCCTCCCCCCAACTCCCTGCTCCCCAGAGCCTTGGCAAACCTGATGTTCTCTTTGCCTATTTAAGAGAACCTACAACCACAGAGCTCTGATGTCCAAGGTCAGGTGCCCATCTCCCAGAGCCCCTGCAGCGGCCCGAAATGCTCAAAGAAGAGAGTAGGTCTGCTGCTGCTGCTGCTGCTGCTGCTGCTGCTGCGGACACCCAAGATGAGGTACTGGTAGAGAAGGGTACTGATGAGGGACCCAGGGGGCTGGAAAGGGGGGAGTATTGCCTCTTGTTAATGTTTGTACCCTTAGGCAACTGGAGCTGAGGAGGAGCTTCTGCCAGGGGTGGATGTACTCCTGGAGGTGTTCCCTACCTGTTCAGTGGAGCAGGCCCAGTGGGTGCTGGCCAAAGCTCGGGGGACTTGGAAGAAGCTGTGCAGATGCTGGTAGAGGGGAAGGAAGAGGGGCCTGCAGCCTGGGAGGGCCCCAACCAGGTATCTTCTCCCAGCACCCTCTACCATGTAGCCTCAGCTACATTCCACCTTGGAGTTAAGCCCCAACCCTTGCTATCCCCATCTGTTTCCCCTGCTGGTGCCCTTGGGCCTAGACCAGGCCTCCCCTCTCTGCAGGACCTGCCCAGACGCCTCAGAGGCCCCCAAAAGGATGAGCTGAAGTCCTTCATCCTGCAGAAGTGAGTCTGAGCTGGCCTGGGCTGGGCTGGGCCCTAGAGGGTCTTCCCAGGGTGACAGGAGCTTCACCCAGCCAGTTTTTGACAGGTATATGATGGTGGATAGCGCAGAGGATCAGAAGATTCACCGGCCCATGGCTCCCAAGGAGGTGAGAGAGTTAAGGGTTGCTGGGGATGTGGAATGGGTGGGACTGGCTCCTGGCTTCTGCCACTCACTGCCTGATTGCCTAACAGGCCCCCAAGAAGCTGATCCGATACATCGACAACCAGGTAGTGAGCACCAAAGGGGAGCGATTCAAAGACGTGCGGAACCCTGAGGCCGAGGAGATGAAAGCCACATACATCAACCTCAAGCCGGCCAGAAAGTACCGCTTCCATTGAGGCACTCGCTGGACTCTGCCCGAGCCTTTTAGGCTCAGATCCCAGAGGGATGCAGGAGCCCTATACCCCTACACAGGGCCCTTAACTCCTGTCCCCCTTCTCTATTTCTTTGCTCCATAGTGTTAACCTACTCTCGGAGCTGCCTCCATGGGCACAGTAAAGGTGGCCCAAGGAAGGTGTGAGTGCATTCTGGTCATTTCTGCCTCAAGACTGGGATACTATGCCTGTCTGACTTTTCCTCCCCAACTTCGAATCCCCTATCTTCAACAGGGCAGCACCAGGCAAGAGGGGGTAAAAAGCTCTTTATTTGAAGCTCCAGGGTGGGGCAGGGCACTGGCCTCTCACCAGAGGTCCCACAGTTCAGGTTCCCTACAGCTCATGTCAGGCCCAGCCACACAGTCCAGCTGTGCTCCGATTGGCAGGCGCGTCAGACCTGCAGGTTGACAAAAGGTGCGAAGCCAGCCATATCCTGCAGCAGCACCAGGGCCTGGTGCAGCGGCGGCTCCACGTCGATGTCCACGCCGCGCTTCCGCAAGCGGCTCAGGCTGGACTCCGCCACATGGTGGCAGTGCCGCACCCGCAGCGAGCGCAGCGCGGGGCAGTACTCGGCCAATGTCCTGAGGGAGGAGCAGGGTGAGGCTAGGGGCATGAAGCCACCACATCCTTGGTGGGGTAAGGTGGAGCCCGGGCTCACTCAGCCTCGGACTGGCTCGGCAAAATCCCAGTCTCCCTCCAGCTCGGGGCAGGGGCATACTTTTTCCGTCCCTACACAAGGGAGGCACTGGATTGGCTTCCAGTGAGCTGGAGACTTCCCGTCTCATTTAAGGGGGGGAACTCGGCCCTCAGCTCCACCTAGGATTGCAAGGTTTCCCCCTTGTTGAAGAAAAGCCAGAAGTCGACTTTCTATGAAATCTCCCAATGTGTAAATATTGGTTCAAAAAAGTTTTTAAACTATGGCTCTCTGGCCTAGGCAACCCTAGAGGCCCTTTCTGTTCAGAATAGGGGTGCTGTGGTTTGCAGGAAGATTCAGAAGCTCAGTCCGGGCTTTTAACAACTACAGCCCGCCCCATACCAGCAGAGGCTAAGTGACTGCCCTCCTCCCGCCCATCAGGCCCAGGCACCTGACACCGTCGCTTCCGACGCGGAGGCAGCCGGTGAGGTCAGGTGCTGGAGTTCTGGGAGTTCCGAGCCAACTCTTGAACCGCGGCGTCCCCCACGTTGGCGTTGACGGCCAGAGAGAGGCTGCGGAGGCAGCGCCGCGCCTCTGCGCCAGGTACACGATGGCCTCGTCCTTGAGCTGGCGGCAGGCGGTGAGATCCAGCTCTCCAGGGCGGGCAGCGGTCAGCGAGGCCGCGCAGCGCCAGCCCGTCCACCCAGTCACAGTGCGCGAGCGACAGGCGCTGCAGGCGTGGGCAGCCTCGGCCAGCGCCCCAGCGCCCGACGACTCAGTTGCCCGCAACCGCCCAGCGCCACACTCCGCAGCTGCGGATTACGCGCCAGCACCGGCACCAGGTCTCGTCTGACAACCATTCGTGACACGGCGCCAGCGCCAGCTCCTGCAGCCCCTCGGCGTCCCGCAGCAGCCGGGCCAATGCGGCCGCGGGATCTGCAGACCCACCTGCGGGCGGGGAGGCACCCAACTCTCAGCCGTCCCGCACTCCTCAGCCGCCTATGCGCCCTGAGTTCTTTTTGGCAGCCTCCTGCTCTCCCAGGAGAGACCTCACTCTCCTCTGAGTCGCTACCCAGTACTTGCTCTTTTGGAGTACTCCCTGCTGCGTGGATCCCTCCCCGGGCAGCCCCGGCGGCCCAAGGGGTCCAGAAGGGTATACTGCGGGGCTGGGGGCTGGGCTAGAGGCGGGGCGGTACCCAGGCAGGGGCGGGGCTTCAGCCCCCGGCTCACCTGCGCTGCATCGAAGCGACGCAGCCCGGCCAGGTGAAGCTGCACCAGCGCCCGGAAGGCCCGGCTAACGCGCTGCAGCCGGAGCAGCTGGCACAGCGGGACCGGTTTCAGGACGTGTGGGAGCAGCACATCTTCCCAGGGCAGGTCAGGAGCCTGCGAGTAAAGGGGCGTTGGCACGGCGTCCGAGGCCACTATTACCTGCGAGTCCACTCCGTTATGCTCCTGGCCCAGCTCCAAGAGCGGCCCCCAGACCAGCCCCGGCTCGGATACCCTCCCGCAGGTTCGTCTTCCCTCTCTCGGCCCCTCCGGTACTCGGTACCTGACGGCTCCGGGCTCTTGCTCCCCTCCGGACGGCTCCATCGGTGGCTCCATCGGCTGTATATTGCGCGTGCGCAGTAAGATTTTCTCGCTTTGGCCTTGGAGTGGCCGTGCAAACCCGCCTCCTTGGGCTGTAGAGATAGACCTATTCAATCGAGTGCCGTGTCACCGAGGATCCAATCTGAAAGCTTTTCGGGTAGACCCCGAAACACAGGCGGAACAGACCGGTGGTGTAACATTAGGCCTCGCCTTCTCAGCTACAGAGCTTGAGGCCCGAAGCTGGAGAATGCGGTGGGCATCAGAGACTGGCTTCTGTCGTCCTCTTGGGCCAGTAGCCGCCTCTGAGTGAAGTGATGATGGAAGGAGCAGGCAAGGCCAAACGCGGAGGGGGCGGAGCCAGGACTCCTAGGTTACCGGCCTCACCTCTGCCCTCTGGTCGCGTTTACCGACTTTGAAAAACGGAGAGAAACTATCCAGGCTCTTACTGTCTGCCACGTAACAGGTGTTCAATAAGTAATTGTTGAAATAATGAATGAATGGGCGAGGCTATAATTTTTCCCTCATCAAGTAAACCTGCTCAAACCTCCCATTCCTGATTAATTGTGAAGAGCTATCCAGCCTCTTCCACTTCGTAACAGTTTGGGCCGCGTTTCTGCCGGGGGAAGAGAGACGTAGGGGGCGCAAATAAAGACTATATTTCCAACTGGGTCCCTTTCATTTCCTCCAAAGGTCCAGAGTCCTGAGAAGGAGGAGAGCTCAGCTCAGCCCGCCAGGGGTAGTGCTTCTCGGCTGGCCTTGGGTTTAGTTGTAGGGTCTGAGGCTGGGTCCGCCCTGGGGCAGTGACGCCCCAGACCTCTGGACTTGGCTTCAAGACTGCCTCTCACCGCGTCCCCACGTCCCAGTCCCAGGATCCGCTCCGGGGGACCCCAGGGGTAGTGCCTTCCCCCATCATCCACAGGATGAGTATGGGGGGATGTGAAGGACGCGGGGGCCGCTGCACCGCTGACGGTCTGGCGTTCCTTCGGTGCAACCGCTTCAGCTGGCTTATCACAATGAAAACCACTTCTCATCTGTTATCTCGTCAGGGCTTCGGGCACCTCTGAAAGGTGGGCAGGTCTATGCTATCTCTCCATTTTAAAGATGGGGAAACCGAGGCCCTGGAGAGGAAGCGCCTTGTCCAGAATCAAGCCAGACGGGAATAGAGAACCCAGACATCTGGTTTTCCCAGAATTCCTTCCACGTTTCCCCACCCCGCAAGGCAGCGAGAAGGGAGAAGCCAGTGGCGCGGAAGGACAAGAAAGGGGTCAAGTTAGGTGAGGGCTTGCTACCTCTTCTTCCTCAGCCTGATTAGGGAGGGGGTAGCTAGGAGGACTGACCCCTGCAAAGATAGAGCCACGTGAGCGCGCACCACCTCCGGCCGCGCGCCTCGTCCCCCCCTTTGTTCGCGCCTCTGCGCCTGCGCAGTGCGACAAATCTGGCGCTGTCCCCTTCAGCACCACGCGGAGTCCGCGCCGCCCCTCCCCGCGGTGAGCCCCGCGCGCCCCCGCCTCGCACGTCCTCGCGCCCCCTGACTGCCCGAACAGACCCCTTCTTCCTTCCGAGGTCACCATCTGCCCTCCCTGGCCCTCCCAAAGAGAGTAGTTGCCATAGTAACTCGAGCGGCTCTTTCTTAAAATAGCAGGGTCCCCTTCTACCCTGGCCAAGGGCACAAGGGTTACCTGTCGCCCACGTCTTCCAGTCCCTAGGTCATCTCTTACCCCTGGGCAGGCGTGACGACACCTAACTCAGGCAGCAAGGAAGTTCTTCCTGAAATCTGATTTAACATCCCCCTGCTGCATCCTGGGGGGGGGGGTGGTCACGGTTGGGTCTCCTGGGTCCGAGACTCAAAACCCCTGGCGGGTTCAAGACGGTGTTCCCTAGATCTCCTTTCCATAGTTGATGGTCTCCTGGACTTAGGGGGCGGGTCCAGTCTACACCCATACCGTGTGCTTGGCGCGGCCGCGTGCTCGTGGGGGCGGGAGCGCGTGTGGCATGTAACAGGTCATGTGGCAGCCTCCTAGGGACACGCGTGGGGTCTGGAGCGGGACACGCGTGTGCAGCCGGGCCTTACGTGTGGCTCAAGGGGCGGTGGGCGAGACAGACGTGGACACAAGTGGGGTGGGGCACGTCAGGGTCTGGGGAATAGAACCAGGGGTTCCATGCCCCTCCTCCTTGTCTGGGGCGGGTCTTAGGTTGGCGGGAGAGCCCAGCGGGGACTAGCGACCAAGGGGGCTGGCAGCCTCCGGGGCTCCGGGCCCTGGGAGAGGGCGGGGGTGGGGGGGATTAGCGTTGCCTGAGCGGCGCGTAGGGGGTAGGGGGAGGGACTGAGAGGCGGGCGGGCCTGGAGCAAACGGGAGCTGCGCTGCCTTCACAGCTCAGCTGGGCCCAGCCTCTCCTCTGTCTCTCCTCGGTCCCAGCTCTGGCGAGCAGCGGTGAGTACTGAGGTGGCATTGAGTTGGGGCTGCGCCGGGTATGCGCTGGGACCCCGTTGAGCTTCCAGAACCTGCCTGGCAGGGTTGCTACTCCTGACCTCTGCCCCTCCCCTGCATTGCCACCAGAGGCCCCTTTACCTGGTTCTGGTCTCTCCCGGATGGGATCTGTCTTACCTCTGGGGAGAGAGGGAGAGGAGAGGAATATGATGCAGATTCCCCTCAAGAGACCCTAGTAGGTGGGGGGGAGGGGAGGGTGTGTGTCCCTGCTTGAGTGTGTACATCTGTATGTGTACATCTGTATGTGTATGTGACTGTGAGCAGTAGGTCTCTGTGAGTGTCTGATACACCTGGACCTCTGTGTGCACTGGAGAATGACAGCCTGTGTA